TGTCCAGCACTTGGATGTCCTGTGGATAGCAATACCTGTTCATCAGGAAGTACTGCTCCAACTCTATGAGGGGCTGACAGTTCCAGCGCCCGATTACCACCAAATCTATATCACTGGTCGGCAAATAAGTGTCCGTCTTATAGCTACCAAAGCACTCGACCTATCGGTGCAAATAAAGACAAATTTAAATATAATTAACATTTTTTACTCAATACTCACCACTACTTGATCTCTCCAAAGGGTTTCAATCGCTTTAGTGATACGCTTGAGAACTTCAAGTCGGGAGCGCTTCTCATACTCTGTCGGACACATATAGCTATAGAAAGCCTCGATCTCCCGGTGCAGGGCATCCATGCCATCAGCAGTGGTACTCTTAGCACCGGTCAGACCCAGAGCCAGCCCCGACTCACTGCCAGCCCTTGTCATCCAAGGCGTGCCATTATAGCGCTGAATGAGGTGTGGGTTGGCGTTCAAGTCATGGATTAGCGACGGATTATCACATGTTTTCTGCATTTGAACCAAACTTTTGCGCCAATTGTTTGCCACGTCTTTAGTCGTCGGCACCGATAGCTTAGTGTCTTCTGTGGGTCTCATGTCTGGAGTGACCGGTGCTTCGGACACATCATTGAACTCTTTCCATGCCTTAGTCCACAGTCTCAATGCCGGGCCCTCCTGTTCCCTCTGAAACCATCCAATACTCGTGTCCAACATATCTGACGACAAACTGTTAGACTGTCAGCCCTTATACGACTGTCCACCTCATAAGTAGTCAGTTCACTACACATACATTATTATATCGATATTCATTTATAACGTACAAAAAAGTTGTAAAAAGTTTTAGATTTGAGTAAAACATACGATTTGGTGGAAAACATGTTATAAATCTCAGGTTTTCATTGCCAATGATAAGAGTCTACTATTGTATTAATGAGTGCAGCGTTTGTTAAATTATTGCCATTGATTTGTAATTGATTGAACACATCGAAGATATTCCTTATATAAGCATGTCTTCAAACATTGAACTCATTCCCACAGAAACTGTAGTTTGTGTGTCCGGCCACTCAGAAAATGGGACAATAGCTGAGTTTGTAGAAGTAGATGACTACCAACTAAGACATCCAAATGAAATAATGGGCGCCAACCCTACCGGTGCTTCTTTCATGGTCTACAATTCAAGTGGTCTTCAGCCCGGAGTGATCGACACTAAGGCACGCATACAGATGTATAAGGTGAATTTCCCCTCAGGAGACAGTTCGTGGTACAAAAGGGATCAGTTACAGCTCGCGAGTGATTGCCACAAGATTGATCCCACTCCGCCCTCTAAGCGTATAAAACTAGGTTAGTATTGCATGTGTTTGTCGTACACCGTGTACTAGTCATTTGTCCCATAATTGACTATATCTTTTTAAATTAAATTTATATCAATTCAGGTAATGGTAGGAATATAAATAGTAGTGGGATTGAAAGCCTATCAAATGTAGTATAATTTAAGATTTTAGATGACCTCTTAATAGGCAATGAAAACCTGAGATTAATAACATGTTTTCCACCAAATCGTATGTTTTACTCAAATCTAAAACTTTTTACAACTTTTTTGTACGTTATAAATGAA